GAGAGAGAGAGAGAAAGAGAGAATAACGTTGTGGATATTGAAATTCTGCTACGTATAAAAACGCGACGGATTATCTACCATACGAGCCGTCTTCTTCGGCCGTCGGATCGCGACATCGACGGAATATAAATGATAGCGTATTCCGTGCGATCAAGTTGTTTCGAGTTCGGCGCCGACTTCTGTGCCGGGCAGGATATTACATCGTTCCCCTCGACTTTACAATCCCGCTGCATGTCCGCGCGGTCTTGTGAATTCGCAGCCGGCTGCGAATTACTCGGCTGCTGTTACTCGGCTCTTAATCTAAAACCTAACGATACAGCGGGGTCCATAAAACGAGTAGGATAAATCTGCAGTAGCACAGCTGCCGTATGGGACCATTAAATCTTAACAGCAGTCGGTGTAACCGACGGTTTCTAGAATAGAGAGGAGTGGAAGAAGGGGAGAGGGGAGTGAATCGTTCGCGCCTCCATGCCACCTGTAGCAAGTGTAGGTTGAATCGAAATCAATCATCTGCCAACAACGAGCAGTTCTGGATATTCCTTTTTTTTTTACTTATTATTTATATCGTCTCCCTCTTACACATACAAAATGTTTACAAAATTTGAATTACATAACATTTAGCAAAATATAATCACCATTGAATTTTGTACCGTTATAAGATCGGCATATATCTTACAAGTAACTATATATGTTCAACTATTACTGTAACTATTACAAAAAAAAAAATCAGTCAAATATTCTCATTTATAACATCCAAACTTTGACATTGCTTGTTAAATACTACAACTTAGTCTAAAAAATATGCACAAGCTTGATATTCTTCAAACGAGTTACCAATTTCTAATAGCTCACTTACCTTACATACGTTCATTACGTATTTAATAAAAAATATTTCGTATTTCGTAATTTTATTAATTAAATCGCGTTTAAATTTTTTAAATAAAAATTTTGTTTTGTCATAAATTTAAGACAATTTCCGAAATAGCATAGAAAAAAACTTCTTAATCATAAAAACAAATTTCTAGATCATCGGTATTGATTGTATACTATAAATGCGACAAATGCAATTACGCAAATCCTTTACAATCGTAGCGATAAAACCCATTTATCTATCTACCTCGATTCACCAGTCGAACAGCTAACTGTAGCGACAATCTCGCAATTTCAGATGCCTTTCCGCGAATGACATCCGATCGTCGATATTCGAGCAAGAACAGCTCTACTCTAATCGAAAGAAATGCCCAACAGTATTACGATATCCATGACTATAATTATTTTAACACTCGTTAGGCATATCCTAACGATGTTACAACCATTATTAGTCATTAGAATATACCTTGAGCGATTATCGGAACCACCGGCGTGGCGACCAGGTGGATACCAATATCCGAGCGCACTCATATCACTCGTTGAAGATCAGTCAAAGAAGATGATGTTGTCGATGCGAACTTTTCAATTGGGGTGCAGTCCCATGATCGACGATAGAAACGGCGCGATCTAACCACCGATCAGGAGCCAAGGGAGCAGGATGGTGACGCAGAGCGCCGCCACGCAGCTGGACAACATCGCCAGGGGACTCGCGGCCGTTTCCGTTTCCATGTTCTCGCTGTAATCTTCATCGCGCACGAATTCATGCACTTCCACGTCGCATCGGAAGCAAACGCGCGCGGTGCTGCTCTTGAAGTGGGATCCGTCCTTGCGCAGCACCTGCGCCCCCGAGCCCTTACGCTCCAACTTCCAACCGGGTTCCTGCAGCAGCATCATCTTGTATTCCCTTATCAAGTTCAAGTGTTGTGCGAGAGCGCCACGCCTCGGAAACTTCTCCTTGAATTCACTAATCGGAATCAAAGATCGCAAGATCGACTTTAGTTCGACAAATATTCCATAAGGCGGAAATATACGTTCTCGCGAAGAAACAGCTAGTTTAATTGGTTTCCGAAGATGCACATCGCTCGCACGAGGACAATATCGTCGCCAACTCCGTCGTTGTCTTTCGGAAGATATATCGTCAATACCTGCAAAGGAAAGTTTTGGCATAAATCGGTGGAGTTGCACGCTGCGCCATACAACGATAGTGGTACTTTAATAACAAGATCGCACACGATGGTTCAAAGAGGCGATCCTACGTGACGAAAAGTTTCTATTAAGCTATCATATTTCTTTCGTTTCTTGCTGGATTACGTGACAAATTCTCGTGATCACTGGCTGCTGGATATTGTTGCAAATTTAATTTTGCAATACACACGATAATACTTTTAACTAAATAATATTTTTATTATTAGACATAATTTGTTAAATATAAATATAACATATTATATTAAAATTTATGTCTTATAATTATAATATAATTATATTGTAAAACATAAATTGCTAAATAAATTGAATATTCTCCTTATCGTTTGTTTTATGCATTACATGCGCTTTTACTCGAACGTTGCGTCAAATGCCTATAGTTGCTGCAAAGTTTCTAAACCTGCGCAACCGCGACTTATCAAACGTGTCATGTGTTTTATAAATGCATTACAGACTCGAGTAAAAAGCTAGAAACCGTTCGTCGTAGTTCGTTGACGACTCATCGGCTTCCTGCCTGTTAGAAACGAGTATTAATCGTAGCAACTTCGACAACTTCGCGGCAGTTTCCGGCAACGAGATTACGGACAGCGCGCGTTGTTAATACGGCACCGGTCGATTGCAAACCCATATTCACGATCAAAAGCAATCTCGTAAATGTACGAAAAACGACCAAGCAAAAAGTCGGCCAATCTCAGCACTGGGAGTAATAAAAATATAACAAAATAAAAATCTGCTTTTATTCTATATAATAAAAACGCGCGTCCATTAACGCGATTCTAAATAAATTTGTAATAATCTTAAAATAATTATTTTTACTACACGATACACAGTTAACACAAAATTTCCAAAGTAATGAAAACAACATTGCAACAAGTTTCTTCTCTTTACGGAAGGCAATAGAGATTCGCATAGTACTAAAGACTCCTTTCAACATCGAGAAAAGACATTAACTTAAACTTTCCGATAGAGCGCGATAAATTCAGTTCCATTTATTTTTATAGGACAAAACACATTGTTTTCATTAAATATTTACAGAGATATTTAATATTAATATGAATTAAAGAAATGCTTAAACACAGAGGAATTGTCTATTTTATTTGTATGCTTTGCTTGTCTACTCAATTTTATGCAGAACTCTGAACAGTCAGTGTCGCACTGCAGGTAATTAAACTGCAGTTTACCGTGTCGATGATTACGGCTTGTCGGATTAAATCCATTTGCATGCAAGACTAAACAGGTCGAGTGACAATGCAGCCTAATTATAGACGGACAACGACTCATATCAACACAAGCTTGAAAAACATTTATAATTATGATTATTAAAGAAAACATATGTTTGCAGTACTTGTATATTATTGTAGTCATCGTTCTATTTCTTCATTAAGATAATATTATATTTTTATTATTTAAATGACGATGAAAATAAAACCGCGCAAATTGCTCTTAATGTCTCAATATAATAAGTATAATAATTTAAGCTTTTTAAATTATAAAAAGATAACAAACATTAATAAATATTTTAGTTTTCCATTTAGATTATATAAATGGGATTTTTAATATTTAAAAATAAATTAACATTTCAGAAAATAATTTTTTTTAGGTAATACCTTTTTAAGTGTTTTTATAGTCTAAAATATAAACGTATCCCTTAAAAATTAATTTCATTAAACATTACAGAAATTAAAATATCATGAAAAATAATGGGGATAGACTAAAATACAGAGACATTAAGAAATAAATTATCTTCACGATTTATGTTAATTTTTATGCTTCACAATCAATATCTGTTTAAAAACATTCATGACATAAATTCTTTTTATCCTACAACTTACTCTAAAAAAAGCTATGTTTTCCGATATCTCTCGTAGTTATTAATATTTATTATAAATAAATTATAAACTGGTTAAAAATAAGTTAAAATAAACATCTTCTATCTGAATGTTCCTCGTGATTATCCAAACTTATACTTTGCCAGTTAACAAATATCATATTATACAAATAATTCCATATATTAATTATAAACTACAACATAAATTTAAAATACAATGCCTCCAACTTTGTGATGTAACGATATGCTTCGGCATAATGAGGTAGTTATTATAATATTAATATTCTTGCATAATTTTAGGAAAGTTATACGCCGCAGATATCGTTTAGCTCAAGTCAAGTAGTTTTTGTACATATAATAGAACTTTTAATTGCTTAAATTTAACCGTAATAATCGTATTCCAATAGCTGAAAGTAATACATTTGCAAGTAAGACTTCGCAATTACCGTCACGGCTTTCTTAATGTTCTTAAAGCAAGGAAAACGCAAATGAAGATCAAGTGCCACAAAGTATTACTACCATTTTTCTCAAAGCTAGTAGACAAAAGTAATAGAATTTCCTTAGGATCCTTCTCTGCTTTGCCGCAAGAACAATGACCATCGCTTGTGTGTTGAAAAGTCTCTTTCCATTCGAAAAAGATATCGCGACGCGAAAATTAACATATTAAATAAAGGCGAGACGATTGTTCGAAAGAACAAAGGACAGTTTGTGAATGCAAATAATCGATATCCTCGAACAAAGTTTGATTCTATGACATACATCTTCAATAACTTCATTTCAACTGCGACACAATTAAAGATAACAGAAATATATATTTATATCCTATTATAAATTTCTTTCATTATTTGAAGATATAAAAAATATGTAATATACTAAAATTAATAAATTAAGAATATCAAATCAATCAAACATACTTTTTATCTTTTTACGTAGCCTAGATAAAAATTATACAACTATTTCGATTATTTAAAATCTTAATTTAGATAATAAAAGAAGTCAATTTATTTTCTTATCGATTCTATATCCAATTCTATATCCATTCTATATGTGTAATTATGTGTAATAATTATGAGTAATCATATAAAATAGAAAGCGCGAAATTATTTTTAGAGACTCATTAAAATAGTTATAGGAGAAAGTAGACTTCGAAACAGATCAATTTTCATGAGTAATATCAGCATACTATATTTTATTCTTATTTTAAAGAACTTTGTAAAGAAAGTTTTGACGTGCAAATAAAAAGATTATTAAAAGAATTTTCTCAATACAAAATCTAAAACCAAAATTTCATACGTATTATTCTCGAAATTTGATTATGAATTATAGTCAAATTTATTATTATAGAATTTTTTCTTTCGGTTCTATCGTTTGAAAATTTACTTTATGAAAATATGTATATTCTCCCGCGAGTTCCCTAAGGATTCTTCTCGAGGTTATTTTATTCTCGATGAAAGTAGTATGTCTATTCATACAATTGTGATACAAATTATGATGTGGATTCAAGTCAACTGAGGATTCCGAAATGATAAACGTGTCGAAGTTCGCGTTGAGAAAACGACGCTTTAAACTTCACCAAGTTATCGTAATGTTGAAGGTTACGAGTTTTTTTACGCTTATGACATAACCGGATCTTCTCTATAGAAAGGATATCTAATCAATAAAGAAATAAATATTAAACAATATACATACTGATAAAAGAATTGAAAAAAAGCACTATCACATTGTCTGCATTATTTTATCGAAAATATTAAAAGCATTATAAAAGCGTATAACACGAGAAAAAAGAAACACGTCATAATGCAAATAATGACGTCTGCCGCCTCTTGCAGAGTGCAAGTTAAAAAAACATATTGCGTTTGCGGATAAAGTGCAAGGGCAAAGTCCTCAATGCGGTAATAACTTTAAAAAGTTATCAAGTCAGAGGACGCGATATGCCTATTTCTCGTCGCATTCCAGGACAATACTTTCAAGTCACAACTTGTACTACTTTCGCCAGGTAGTTAAAGATTTGGTAAAAAAATTATTCCGTTATAGACGCTCTTTACGTTGATGCGTACTTCGAGGCAACTATCAAAGCGACGTGATTCATTCATCGAATACGCCATTGCATTATCGCGAATGAGATAGTCCGCGATTTCTCTGACATCCATCATGGAGAGTCGTCATTTCCATCACCGGCAGAAACGACACGTGTTGCAGTTATGCTAATGTAAATGCGAATGTTGAAAAGACTTGCTAAAAAGTAGTAGATTTATTTGCGATTAATATTTTTGCTATGCTTGCCATGACAGGCGAAAAATCTTCAGATAAAAAAACATCGAAAAATCTTCAGATAAAAAGACATAAAATGGGATATGTCGCACGTATTAAACTTTATAACTCTTCGTAAGGCAGATAACAAGACACTTGGTACGATATCCCGAGATTCGTTATCTAAAATGTACACGCGCATTTATTATCTTCATGGATCGCTTATTATTTCTCTGGGTTATGCGAGCGAAAATGAGAACCTCAATAATCATATGGCGAAGGACCCTTAATTCGGGATGGTTCCAATCGCGAGAAAAAAACCGGATTGGTATAAAACGTATAAAAAAGATTAAATAAAACGCATACAAAAGATTAAAATTATTCGCAGCCGCGCCCAACTTACAGCGGCAAGTGGATACTCGTCTCAGAAGTAAAAACGAGGACAAATACTTCCAATTTAGAAATGATGAGAAGAAAGTTTTCGATCACTTTTCTTTTATGTTTCTCAACATCCAAAAAATTTTATTGAAATTGTTTATTCATCGTATTTTTATATGAGAGATAAAACAACATGCGAAGTTATCGCATCGTATAAACTGGGGGTTATTCCGTTTTTTTTTTTTTTTTTTACAAAAAGAATTATATATTATGAAATATTTCACTACTCGTTTAATAAGAGTCAGTTTTGTTCTTTTCGACAAAAGAATAAAATCGGAGGCGGATATTAATTAAAATGCAAGATTTTTTTTGGATGTAGCAATGTTTGGGACCATCCTACAAGTACACGCAGGTGCTTGTGTGCGTCGTAAATGCGCTGAATGCAACAACAGCGGGACGCGAAAAAGCTCGCGGATCATGTCATTT